CAATTCAAATCATGTCTTGGCTGGGTCCCATCTTGATATTCAGGAGGGTACCAGGATACTTTTAGCGCCCTCCAGTGGAGGGTACTTGGCCTGTTTTTAAATGGAGGGAACTTCAGGCAGTGTCGGGTGCCCCTTTGATTCGTTTGCTAAGTGCCCTTATTGGCTTGATAAGGGTTGGGATTCTGTTGGAATCGAAGAGCTACCCGTGTCGAAGCGTGACAACTGCCACATTTGATTGGCTCCGACCCAGAAAGCCCGAACATTGCGTTTTGAGTGTCAAAGCGTGTCATTTGAGTGTCATTGGGGGTGCGAATCGAGGTCACTTACCCCTACGCGTGTCGCTGCGGCTCGATTTGCCCAGCATCGGTCCCGCCCGCGTGTGAGTGTCATTCGCATTCACGTGTCGCTGCGGCTCGATTTGCCCGGGCTGAGGAGGGATCTGCTGGGGAGGGCAACCCTGAGGGTGTAAGTGCCCTGTGAATGGCTTAAGTGACCTCTTTGATTTAGGACTAAGTGCCCTTATTTTCAAAATGAATCATAGCACCCAAAAAAAGAATCGAGGGCGCTGAAAAGAAGCTGGTGTGTAGGTTTTAATCGTATGTGTTTTGCCCAAACCTCCCAAACAAAAGCTAGGGTACACCCTAGGAGTCATGTGCTGAAATTTCAGGGGTTGTCGTTGCCGAACTTTCCGGGTCCTCGAATCACCATCAAAAAGCAACATGTACCGCCAGTTTTAGGACGTCGATGGCCAACGCTTGTTTTACCACGATTTGGAAGTTGAGTTCATTGCTTCTAATAGGTCATTAGGACGCACCAAAACAGTGGAGCACACTGTCTGCGTATATTGTATTGGATGGCCAAGGGGTCAAACAACAAAACTGTTCATGATCAAACACGCATAAATTAGCATAAATGTTAGCATTAGCAGTAGCAGTACTAGTGCTGCACTACGTAGTGCTAGTACACGTACAAGTTCAAGTACTAGAGCAGCAGCAATAGCAGTTGCCGTACTCGTAGTCTTCGTCGTCGTACTACTTTTAGTTTGCTCCTGTAATGAATGCTCGTGACTGCTCGGTTGGAAAAAGGGAGATAAAATACATCTCGGATAAATCTCGGCAGAAATTAATTCTTGCAGCCGACTCCAGAACAAGTTTGTTTTTTTGGCGGCCCTGGCCCCACTATGCCACACCCCGACACGCTCCACTGACCAGCAGTAAACCTTGCTTGAAGCAGCCGCCGCCGTCATGTGCATGTACTATATGTCAGGGGCGTGTTTTGCCAAATGCCGAAACTCCCGAAGGCGTTCGCGACGGCCCCCACTTGGAGACAAGCCCCCATCTCAAAAAAACTTGCCACACATACCACAAAAACTCACACAAACAAGCCCAGCTGCCACAAAAGGCCTGCCTCTGTTGTCTAAGACTTCCTGCTCTGCATCCAGCTCCCTCTCCACATCTAGGTCCTGAGAAAACCGACATGTCTCTCGACAAGAGGTTCTTGCGCATCAGCACATATGTCAGAATTACCCTCATGCCGAACATTTATTCCACCACAGATCCCGTCAAGTTATGTCAAGTTCAAATGAAAAGGATGCAGACAAACTGCTACAAAGACGCGTATTTAGGATTTGCTCCTGATGCAAACACACATCTGAACATGCACAATACTGGCTGAGATCCTCATCTGCCACGACTGGCAAAGTGATGCTCTCACATGTCAGGCAATGTCAATGAACAAATCTTGGCGTTTCAGATGCAACCATGGAAGCAGTCCAGACGCACTTAATGTTGAAGAAGGAACTGTGGAACACGCAACCCATGCATGCCACACACCTGGAGCCCCATTGTGACACAAACATTGTGTTGTGTAAAGTTTGTCTTCGAGCCATTCTTTTCTGCTCGATGCTTCGCAAAGCTCACGGTTCTTGAAAAACATGGTGTTTTGTTGTTTGGAGGAAGGCAAAGCAATTGTTACATTTTTGAATTTGCGCTAGTTCGCGGATATGTGCGCTCGAGTTGCAGGACAAAACAAGAGGACACCAGAGCTGCTCGAAACATACTATGTCTGGCCGTGTTCTTGAAACAGGTACAGTACGACAATGACTATTACGTAACGAAGCAGCAACAAACGAAACACATATGCTACAAAGGGAGCTTCAGGCACCAATAGGTATACCAAGAAAATGGCCCAGCGAGCTCATTGCTTCGCACGTTGAGCTATTGCCCATGCCGCCTTTCGTTGCTAACGGCAGTTTGTCAAAGTATACCTGTACCACCAATGGAGGGCATCGAAAAGACATCAAAACCGCCCAAACTTCGGGTTTTAACTCACTCAGGTCGTAATGCGATCTGACCAGCAGCCACTCGTGGCTACTGCCAGCATGAAACCTCGCTACAATTTGTCTTGCCAGCATCTCACTTCTAAATATTATGAGAGGCCCCTTTGGCGCTTTCACCAGAAGGCCGCCACTCTGCCGGGCGTCAATCTTGTTTCTGACCATGAAGAAGGGCACGCCCCAGTGTCGCAGGTCATCCAGCAACAACAGCTCTGCCTCGGTGAATCCTCGGAACCCCAAAACACGGGCGGCGCCAGGGTTGGGCCAACCTCTCTAAGCATGACTCAATCGCTATTACAGTTCGAGCAAATTCGTTTTGGCTTCCAGAGTCTTAAAGGGCTCCGAACCAGGATTGGTTGTACACAACCGTGGGCGTCAACCGTGTCAGATTGCCAGCGCTAACTGAAAAGCCATCAAACATGAGATGTTACAAGTCAAACCTCGCCGGGGTGGGAAGAACAGGGGATAAACCAATCGACCCCGTCAGGATCCATCCGGGGGGGGGGGGACCAAGTGTTGAAGGCGAAAGCATCGGCGTTGCTGGCTGCACATGCTCACCGGTCAAAGCCTAGGCTCGCTGATCAGTGATGAGAACCACCACATCGAAATGGCGAATCCCCAGCTTCTGCAAGTACTTCCTTGGGCTCCGTTGATACAATCGGATCCCCCGCACTGCTGCGCTGCTGGGGAACGTTTCGCAGGTTTGCTGAACCAAGGAGTTACTCCTGTTAATTCCTGTGATTCAAGGAAGCCCCTGATCCAATCTAAACAGGCCAAACTACTAATTATCGCGAGCCGATTTGGGTGACGGATGGGTTTTTTTATGTCGTACCCAGGTGTGACAAGCCCTTCCCCCGGCAAAACAGGGCAACCTAACCTAGTTTCATACAAACTAACCTGGGCTTGCCATAATGTGCAAACTCAATCTCTCGGGCGCATAAAAAAAAGAGCTCCTAGCATCAATACTGTGTTGTCTTATGATTGGGGTTTAAATCCAAAATCTAAAAGTCTAAACTTAGAGTCTAAAACGCTACCCAGGTGTGGCAGGCCCTTCCCCCGGCAAAACAGGGCAACCTGACCTAGTTTCACACAAACTAACCTCTGGTTTGCCAGAATAGTGCAAACTCAGCTCGTGGTCATGGCAGCCGCCGATACAGACATCAGCCGGACCTTCATTTTCTCACGCAGGCCAAGTGCACAACATAAACCCAAGCATCGTGCATCATATGTAGTAGTGTCATCCACCTGATGTGTTCACTGTTCAATTCCTTTCACTACCACGACATTCACATAATACTAGGAAGGCTCGTGGCAGGATAGTGCAGATATAAGAGAAAGTAAGTAGATAGTCTAGATTAGATACCGGACACTTAGTCTGAACTTGGTATCGATTGTTTCTTCTAATGGGAAGATACTAAAGAAAAAAGATACAGCAAAAAACAAGGATAACGCAAAAAAGAAGTTAAAACATAAAAAACAGATACACAAGATAAAAAGGACAAAAACAAACAGTTAAAAACAGATTAAACAACGATTACAAACATGTTAAAACAGATTAAACAAGATAAACACATGCACAGAGTTGCAAAGAGCTTGCCCTGCAGTAGAAGACATGTTGCAACAGGTAATTAGCAGGGAAGGGGCCGGATAAATCAATAGTTGCGACTTTCGTGCTGGAACTGCGGAAGTGTCAAGCACTTTTTCTCTCATGACAGACTAACAAGAGCCCCCCCTTACATACCTCCTTATCAAGATTCGCGCTGCGTGGGGCGTGACATACCTTTAAAAAGTCATAGCCAGATATAATCATCATCCGAACAATGGCATCATCCTGGCGCAATAATATTTGTACCTGTTACAGTGAAATAAGTATCTGAAAATCCCCAAACGTAAAACAAATTAAGAGGGAAAACCTGGCTTTGCAAAGAAGAGGTTTGGAGCGGGCCGCTTTTTCCATTTAGTTTGGGTTTGTGGTTCAGGGTGTTCATTTAGTTTGGGTAGGCGGTTTGGAGGGGGCCGGTTCTCCGTCTATCGGTTGCTGGTTTGGAGGGGCCGCTCGATTCATTTAGTTTGGGTTGGTAGTTTGGAGGGGGCCACTTTTTCCATTTGGTTTGGGTTGCTGGTTGGGAGGGGCCGCTTGTTTCATCTAGTTTGGGTTGATTGTACTAATTTCACGTAATTTTCGTCGGTGGTTTGGAGGGGTCCGCTTTTCCATTTGATGGTTTGGGGGGGGGGTGGGGGGGGGGCGGTTTTCCATTTCTTTGGGTTGCTGGTTTGGAGCGGCCGTTTGTTTCATTTAGTTTGGGTTCGTTGTGTGGAGGGGCCGCTTTTTCCGTTTGGTTTGGGTTGATGGTTTGGAGAGGCCGCTTGTTTCATTTAATTTGGGTTGGTTGTGTGGACGGGCCGCTTTTTCAATTTAGTGTGGGTTGATGGCTCTAGCTTTATTCAATTTTCGTTGTTGGTTGGGAGGGGGCCGGTTTTCCATTAGGCAGGGACTGATTGACTTATTTAGTTTGGGTTGGTAGTTTGGAGGGCTCCGCTTTTTCCAGTTGGTTTGGGTTGATGTTTGGAGGGGCCGCTTGCTTCATTTAGTTGGGGTTGGTTGTGTGGAGGGGCCGCTTTTTCCCTTTAGTTTGGGTTGATGGTTCTAGTTTCAGGTGGTTTGGAGGGGGCCGGTGTGTAATTAGTTTCGGTTGCTGGTTTGGAGGGGCCGCTTGTTTCATGTAGCTAGGGTTGGTTGTTTGGAGGGGCCGCTTGTTTCATTTAGTTTGGGTTGGTGGCAGTTACCCAACTTGGGTCGCTCAAGTCATGCTTCTTTACTTGGGAATTTAGGAAAAACAAATTAGGTCAACATCCAGAGCCCCTCGAATCTGAGTTCCTGGACTGAAGGACAAACAAAAAAGGTCGATAACCCTGGCTTGGTTGGGGAGACCAACAAAGTTCAAAAAGTTCAAAACACCGGGCCCCCAAAGTGATGTTTCGGGGAGTTCAAAAAGTTCACAAAGTTCAAAATCCCGGGCCCCCACAGTGATGTTTCTTTACTTGGGGAGTTCAGAAAGTTCAAAAAGTTCAAAATCCCGAGCCCCAAACGTGATGTTTCTTTACTTGGGGAGTTCAAAAAAATATCAAAAGTACAAAATCCCGAGTCCCAAAAGCTTCTTTACCTGGGGAGTCAAAAAGTTCAAAAAGTTCAAAATCCCGAGTCCCAAACGTGATGTTTCTTTACTTGGTGGGTTCAAACAAATCAAAAAGTTCAAAATCCCGAGCCCCAAACGTGATGTTTCTTTACTTGGGGAGCTCAAAAGAATCAAAAAGTTCAAAATCCCGAGTCCCAAAAGTTTCTTTACCTGGGGAGTCAAAAAGTTCAAAATCCCGAGCCCCAAACGTGATGTTTCTTTACTTGGTGGGTTCAAACAAATCAAAAAATCCAAATCCCGAGTCCCAAAAGTGATGGTTCTTTACCTGGGGGGTTCAAAAAGAAAAATATCAAATGCATGTTTTTGCACAGTTGGTGTTTTTCAGGGCCTGTCACTGGCCTGCTTGGTCGGCCTGCTGCTTTTCATGGAGTGGGATGTCTTCAGTAGAGCTTCCCATTTGCTTGTTGTCTCTAGCTGCCATTTATTTGGGGGAAGGTGCATTTGTTTCAGGGCCTGTCACTGGCCTGCTTGGTCGGCATGCTGCTTTTCTTGAAGTAGGATTTTTTCCATTGGGCTTCTAGTTTGCTTGTTGTCTCTAGCTGCCTTTTTTTTGGTGAAGGTGGGTTTTTTCAGGGCCTGTCACTGGCCTGCTTGGTCGGCCTGCTGCTTTTCTTCCAGTTTTTTTGTGCAGTTGGTTTTTTCAGGGCTTGTCACTGGCCTGCTTGCTCGGCCTGCTGCTTTTCTTGAAGTGGGTTTTTTCCATTGGTAGGGTGTCATGACCGCGTCCTCTGACAGTGCGGTCTTGATGATGCCATCAGGTGTCGGCCTCAAAAAACAGCTCCTCAAACCCAAAATCGTTTTTTATAACACTATGTGACTATGTGTGCATAAAGTGTGGAATATGCAAAACCTGAGGGCACACATGCATAACTTCTGCATAACTTCTGCATAACTTCTGCATAACTTCTGCATAACTTCTGCATAACTTCTGCATAAAAAAACATAGGCTGCATAACTTCTGCATATATGCAGAAGTAATACTGATTTTAGTAGGGCAACTTCTGCATATATGCAGAAGTTGTTTTGTCAGTGACATAGGCTGCATAAAGCAATTCCTATGCAGAACTTATGCAGAAGTTATGCAGAAGTTATGCATAGGTTATGCGTAAAACGGTTTTTATACGCAACAATCATTGAACAATACATACGCCGCGCAAAAGTCGCATAGAATTGTACCAAGTTGTCAGTACTAAGAAGGCTCGCAGTCAGATAGCTTGGAAATAGAGGATAGTATGTCAAACATAAGTCTGTTTATCAGGTGGTTAACCTATGTTTATCTTAGATTTGTTTGGCTATGTTCCGGCGGACTTATAGTAGACTTAGGAGTAGCTACTCGGGAAAGTAAAAGATAATAAGTTTTCACATATTCTCTACTAAAACATATGGAAGATATTAAAAGATAGTATCTTTTTTGTTTTATCTTTGTTTATATTTTTTTGTTTAATCGTTTTGTATTTGTTTTAATCTGTTTTTACCTTTTTCAGTCGTTTTTCATTGGGGTTTGCCAGTTTAGATGGCGAGCCATATGTGCTTTTCAAGCAAAAGGACATTGCTACTATTACGAGGCGCATCAGCTGTATTGTGATGAAGCCCTCCAAAAAAGTCCCACTTCACCAAAAGCAGCAGGCCGACCAAGCAGGCCAACTACAGGCCCTGAAAGGGGTCCAGCTTCGCAAAAAATGGCAGCCACAGACAGCAAACAAATTAGAAGCTCTACTAAAAGAGAACCATTTCACGAAAAGCGCCAGGCCGACCAAGCAGGCCAGTGAGAAGCCCTGCTGCGCAGAGAAAACAAGGCAGGCACACACAACAACCAAACTAGAAACCTAATGGGAAAATCCCACTTCACGAAAAGCAGCAACCCGAACAAGCAGGCCAGTGACAGCCACACACAGAAAAACTGTAGTCGGGGCACGTTGGGCCTGACTACAGTTTTTTCCCAACCGTTTCCCAAGCGTTTCTAAGGCC